ACAAAACAAAAAAAGGTATCACTTGCTCCATTCTTTTGGGCTTTAATTGCAAAACAATTCCTTACAACCTGTAAAGATTCATGGGAAAAAAAAAACCTCAAACCAGTTAGTTCAAGATTAAGATTATTAACTAAAGTTTGGTACTTTGAAATTGCTGACACATCAATAAAAATAGGCTAAAATTCAATTTATGTCCATTTTACTTATCTAAAGTTATATTTTGGTACACTAATTTTTTCCTCTCATCAATAATAGTACGTTATGTTCAATTTGCATCGCTGTTGGGACATTATCGTTAAAACAATTCATTATTTGTTGGGATTGATGTTTAAAATATGATGCAAATTGCAACATAACTTACTATTTTTGATAAGGAGAAAGTAAGCGTACCAAAAAAGAACTTTAGATAAGTAAACGGACCAAAATTTAAAAAAATTTACCAATAATACAACACAAAATATGTTAGAAAAACCATAGGTGTGATTGTTATGAACATAATTGACCAGTCTAATAAAAAAATACAAAATATGTTTTGATGAAATGTCATAACAAAACAGGGAAATACAAACTAAAAATTATCCATATTTTAATTATTAGTAAAAATTAATGAATACATTAATAATTCAGACAGTGAATGAGTGCTCACCAGAATGCATGTAGTTTGTAGGGCAGATGCTTGGGAATAAACTATCATCATATTAATGGGAAGAAAACAGGCTGCTGCTCAATCCCTGACTCATTTATATTTCTTTGACTTCTTCCCTAAAAATGTTATTATTAATTTTTATTTTTTTTCTATGTTAGGCAAATAAATAATCACTACAAAAAAAACTCTTACATTCCAACGAAAATTTTCTGTTGGAATTCTTTATATTTTCCATTGGAATAGCTATTCCAACGGATATTCCTACGTATAAAAATTCGTGGGAAAAACGGCCGTTGGAATAGCTAAAATCCAACGGAAAATCCTATGGAAATAAATTCCAACAACTATTCCAACGGAAAAAATTCGTTGGAATTCCTCAACCATCCAACACTTATTCCAACATAAAATTAAGTTTGTTGGAATATTCATTGAAATTTCCAACGAAAATTTTTGCCATTGGAATTTTTCGTTGGAATTGAAGTGTTTTCTTGTAGTGAATACATAAAAAAAAAATAAATATATTTGTTTTTTAAAAATATTTAAAATTGTTCCTCATCCAAAAAAATTAAAAAAAATAAAAAAATAAATAAATCAATTAATTGGTATGCACCTGAGGGAGAATATTTGGAAATTGAGCTTGTTGGAACATAAAATAATTAGCAGAGGTATCCAGTATAGGATAGTTAATATTGGCTATTGTGGGGCTGCATGCTTGCATGCTTGGTACTTGTGTGCTCAAGTTGCTCAACTCCTGCATGCAAATTCAACAAATTAATAATTTATACAATTTATTCAAAAAAAAAAAAATAAAAAAAAAAATGAACAAAATTTGATGCTTATTTATTAATTGATTTTTCAATTACATATATATAAATAGTTGCATATATAACATCTTCTCACAATAATAAATACATTAATATGTAAGTATTATTTTTTAAAGTATTCTTCAATGAAAGCAACTTTTATTTCAAGTTATTAAGCTTCATTTAATGAAACTACAAAATAACCATTTTCTTAGGTTTATGTTTGGTAGACAAATAAGTTGGTTCATAGCTTATTTGGTTAGTTTATAAGTTTCTTGTATCTAAAATAAATTTCGTTTGGTAGGATAATCTTTCTTAAAAAGCTTCAGCTGATCTCATAAGCTTCTCAAATAAACTCGTTGAAATTTTTATTTCAGCTAATTTTACCAAACACTTTTATCATATAAGCTAACTTTTCATCTATGAGTCATAAGTTATAAGTTCGAAAATTACTGATAAGCTATAAATCAGTTTATCAGCTATCAGCTAGCTTATCTGTCAGCTTTACCAAACAAAACTTTAGTGAAAAAATATATAAATATATGAAATAATAACTTAAAAAATAAGAATAAAAATAATTGCATACCTGATCAGCCCTCATCATATATGCATCCAAGTCCATCCCAAAATCATAACACATGGGATTTACAGAAGCAAGCTTCATTGATAAAAACTGCAAAAATTATGTAAAAAATTGGTAAGTAATAAACTATATACTTGGCATAATATTGTATAAATAGATATAATGCATGAATATAGTACAAAACTAAAAAAATAATTAAAAGTTTGATTTATAGTAAAATAAATTAAAAATTAATAATTATATGACCTCCACTTGATTTTGAAGGGACTGGACATAATTGATAATCTCATCCAACATGAGGGCCTTCCCAGTAACCTGTTTGTCACTCAAAACCACATGATATTGTCACCCAAATAACAATTAAAATGATAAAATAAAAGACAAACAAACAGCAAAAACATTAATTTTTCAGACAAAAACAAGACAAATGAATGTTAAGCCAAACATTAATAATAATAATAATAATAATAATAATAATAATAATAATAATAATAATAATAATAATAATAATAATAATAATAATAATAATAAAATGAAAGTGACCTTGTCACAGCCAGGGACAATAGCCTGGAGGAGCTTCATTCTTTCACTTATTTTCTCCCTTCTCACCTGATAACATTTAATTAATAGTATTTTATAATAAAGTGGATAATAAAATTAAACCACTATATTATTAAAAAAAATGGCATACTCATGTTCGTAATTTCGTTAAAAAATGTCATACTTTACAAAATCCGTATAAACAAAAATATATAATATATAATACAAATATATATTTTTGTTCAAATAGTACGTGTAGTCGACCTGCTTAACAGTTTGAGCGTCTCATATAAGAATTTGTGATAGTAATATATGTTCACTATTTTTCCTTAATTAGTGAGGTGAAAAATTAAAATAAAAGTGGGAGATGCTATAGTCCCGTCACGGAACCATTCTGTCAGGATTTGTAACCGTTAGATCAATTATCCCTGACGGTTACAAACTCCCACGGAATGGTTCCGAAAAAAGAAGTTACCCTCTCAGCAAGGCTATGGCTGTCTGTGGCCTGTCCCCTCTTAGCCCTCAAATGAATGTATCCTGTTGGACCTTCTTTTTCTGCTCCTTTCTGTTCTTCTTTGCTCTTCTTCTTCTTCTTTTCTTCACCAATATCAATTTGCATCTTCTTTTGCTTCTTTCCTTTCATTCCCCTCTTCACCTATTACACCCAAAACAAAACAAAAAAATAAAAAATAAAAATAAAAAAAAATATTAATAAAATCAGAATTACATCAAGAATTCATTAACAGTTCATCATTTATTTTATTTGCTGATCAAGACCTTAAATTGAGCAGAATTTGCAGAAGTGCCCTCCTCCTTGGACTTCCTCTTGTTTTGGTGACACATATAAATATGATGAGTGAGTATTGAGGAGGAGTCCATAGTTGTAGTAGTAGTGCTATTCTTGTTGGTCACATTCAGAACAACAGAGGACTCATTATTATTATTGTAATTATTACTGCTAGGCCCTGATGAGAATACTTTATTGCTAATCTGGTCAAGATTTGGGGGGTTTTCTTGAATTTGGTGAAGTAGAGGGACTGGTGAAAAGGGATTGTGTGGTTGGTCAAAACTGTTATTAATATTATTATTGATGATACAGTTAAGGGGAGAAGGATGGTGGTGATGAATTGAGGAAAAGGCTGCCATTTTTGTTTTTTTTTTTTT